GGTGGTATTCAGAGCAGGTCCCCCCACTTCAAGGCCGGTGACTATACAAATGATCTTTGTGGTATTAATTTTGCCATTGACAAGACAAGGTCTGAGCTGCGGAGTTTCTTGTAGATGCCAAGGTCGCACTTAATAAAGTCTTTTTGATTTTCTTGTAAATGCCGCAAGCTGTAATGTAAGATATTCCAAGGCTCTCAAGCTGGATCAGATTCTGAGTGACATATTTTAAAAGTTCTAAAATGTAAACACCACAGCCTTGGAAAATAAAATGATATTCTGTTGTGCTTGTAGTTTTTTTGCAATGTTTTCATTAATACTAATCCATTTGATTAGTAGCAAATATTGATGGGGCCTGTGGACACATTTATAGTCTTAACAAAACCATACTAGAGTTATTCACATAACTGTGAATTGTGCACAAATTATAATAGAATTGCAAAGTTCAGGTCACATGTAGGTGAATTGGAAATATTTCAAAACAAAATAGCCATGTGTGTTTCACATAGAAATAGTTTTGTTTTTTTTAATTGCAAGAGAAGAACATGCACGCACCGTTTGGCGTTTAGTGAATAGATCTATCGCTCACATATTTTGTGGTGGACAGCAGTGTCCTTTGAATTACTAATATACAAATATCATGAAATACACACATCAATATTTATATATCTGTTTCATATATTTTAATGTTTTTATTTTTATTTTTATTATTTTTTAAATAATTTGGCTTGGTTTGTAGCTTAAATGATTATTAATAAATTATTTGTAGATGACCATTACACCTCTGTTGTGTTTCACAATGTTAAGCATTTAAAATGTATTCAATAAGCTCCAAACTGTAGCAAAATAAAGTCCAAATTTCATAATTTAATCAAAAATTGCTAATTTACTAACTAGTTAGCATTTAGTGGTGCATCAACTAGCAACAAGACAAAAAATACCATTATCACTGCAAATAAGAGGATTGTTAAATGTAATTCACTTAATACTATTTTTATATTTGTGAACATATTAACTACACAGCATTGCCCTATGATTCATTATATTCCATCTACAATGAAATATGTTCAAAATAACTTTAACACTTTGGGGCTGCAAGGACCTTCACATGTTATTGTGTTTCCTAAATCACCCAACAGGTTAAACACCATTCGTTTTTAATGCTTGTTATACTTCCAACAAACATGAGCAGCAATTTTACAGACGGGATAAAGGCATTTTTAGTCTTGAACTTCCCTCCAAAACATCCAGTTTAGCCCCCTCTCATGTCACTGTTGATTAAGCGATTGTGGCATCCTATCCCTTGCTGGAAGTGTGGGAAACAGATTACCTCTGAGCTAATGTAAGTGACACTCCAAGGATTGGCCGAAAGCAGCTTCTGTAAGAGCAGCAACCACTCATTCCCAGAGGTCTTCCAATGTCATTTCAATTCAATGTGTGATCTTTGATGGACAATCTTAAATTGTCCTTTTGCACTGCCCTACCCCAGAAAGTAGACGATCTGTTGAATTTAAAAGACCTTGCTGGAAACTAAATGTAGCACTTATACGGTTTAGAAAGTCAGAGGCACTTTGTTTCTGGGTACAAAGGGCTATTCCAGTTTTGTCAACTATCCTAATAAAGATATATTTATAATTTTAAAGGAAATATTGACGTTTGATAAAAAGTAAACCATTTAAATTGAGAAAAACTACTATGCAAGTAATGAAATCTAACCATAACAATATTCTAGTTTTCTGAATTATTTGTTTATTATTTCGGAATTTGTATTGAATTTCCCAAAGTAGATTATTAACCTTTAGCCTTGCAGTCTTTGCTACCTTAAATAATATTCTTCTTTACATATATAATTTGGGCATTCTTTACTAGCGGACTACTCAAATGTTTTAATGAAACACTGTTTTTGGTTGGAGTACCATTGCTGGAAAGAAAGGAAGGAAGAAAAACAGAGATAGAGAGAGAGAGAGACAGGCAAAACATTTCTGTGGTCCAGTTCTCCCTGCTGGCTGCACAATTCACCTACAGGAGGGAGGATATCCCAAAGGTTGGGCTGAGACAGAACTTGAAGTGTAAGTTCTGTTTGGACTGACACAAGAAAACAACAAAAAACAAACCATGGCACAAGAAAACTTAGGTTAAAGAAACAGCTCACTGTATTGATGTCCATGAACACTATACTCAGGTTTAATATAGTGCAGTTTAGATTAGTTTGATATTCTTGGCATCAATGGACTACTAAAATCTTGATTGCGTTGACATTTTCTAACCTGGATGATGCTGATTGGCTGAGACTACTGATTGTAAAACAAACAAAGTAAAACATAAATAAAAGACCTGCAGCTGATAGGCTTCTCTTAAGAATTGTGTATTTAAGGATTCTTTGTAGGACTGCTGAGAAGGGAAGTGTCAAATGTGGAGTTGGAGAGCTTTCCATAAGTAAGGAAAAGTCCTGTAGGTGCGAGTCTGGGGTGCATGTAGAAGAAGTGGACAATAATAGGTCATTGGCAAAGCAAAGAGGCCAGGAGGCCGAACTAGAATATGCTAATGAGGGAGGAGATATAAGCAGGGGCCCAGTTATGGAAGGCTTTATAAGTAAGCACAGAGATTGACTGACGGGAGGCTAGATGTAAGGTAGAGGAGTCTGGCGGGGGCTCATTACGGACTGTGGAGGAGTAATCTGGGCACCTTCCAGGCCAATAAGCAGTGAATTACCATAATCAATAAAAAATTGAGGAAACAAAGATAATAACAGACAAGCATTTATTTTTGTTCTCGGTGAAGAAGGGTGAAATGCGAGAAATGTTTTTAAGATGAAAGCAACAGGATTTGGTGATAGATTTTATGCAAGGGGAGAAGGAAAGATCAGGAGCAAACAGTACACAAAGACAACATGTGTGTGGCGTAGAGGTTATGATATGCTCAGTTTAACGGAAAGAAAATGTACAGACCTCCCTTAGAGTGAGGGAGGAAAGATGAGAAGTTTGGTCTTGAAGACGTGGAATTTTAGTTTTACATTAACAACACATTACTAATAAATAATAAATAAAATATATTTGTTGATCCTTGTATAAATCTCAAATAAGTTGCAGAATAATTGAGTTAAAGTCTAAGTAAAATGTTTTTCCTCATAATTTTTTTATTAATATTATAAATATTAATTTTAAATTTTTCCAGGATTTATACATCAGGACAAATAAATTACATTTGACATTTCACATAGTACATATTGTATAACTAAAATTTATGTTTATATATCATATTTACTTTTTACAGTTTATTTATTACATAATCTCTGTTCAAATCTAACATTCATTCTTCATTCATACCGGACTATATTATTGTTGTGTCTGAAATACCAGGCAAGGGATATTAAATGTGGATTAAGAAAAATTAGGTTCTAGAGAAAGTTCTATTAACCCATGGGCCCTAAAAATATTTTTCCAATTGGCCTATGAAGTGGTGGTAGCCCCGTTCCGTATTGTATTGGTATTCAATTTGTTTGATTATTTAAATCCATTTTGGTTCTGTTGAGATTTTCCAGTTTTTGGTCCTAGTGATTTTTATAGCCGATAGAATATGTGTAATTAGGTACCTATGATCTTTAGTATGGACTGGAAGATCCATATTTAATTTGAAAGTCTGAGGTGAAATGTGAATTATATTGTCGACTATATCGTTCAGGAATGCTAATGCATGTTTTTAAATTTGCTTAGAAGAGTACATTCCCACCACATATGGTAAGTATGTCCCTTATCAGTCATACACCTCCAACATATATCTGAATTTGACCTTGATATTTTATGTAGTTTTGTTGGAACTGTATACCAGTGATATACCAATTTTTCCTCATTTTAAAGGAAGATATGTTCCTCTGATCCCTGTGTCTTTTTTTTTCTTTTAATGAAAGGGTTAATGCCATTTTTCTTTTGTTAATTAATAATTGACATTCACCTATTATTATTATTATTATTATTGACATTTATATAGCGCCAACACATTCTGCAGCTCTTTACAATATTATGAGAGGGGGGATTTAACTATAAATAGGACAATTACAAGAATACTTACAGGAACGATAGGTTGAGGAGGGCCCTGCTCAAACAAACTTACAGTCTATAGGAGGTGGGGTATAAAACACATTAGGACAGGAAATAGCAATCAAATAAGGTGGGAGTGAAGCAGAGCTGGAGGAGAGAATAGAGTGCTGCCCTTTAGGAGAGAGCAAGAGACAGGTATGTGAGATAGAGCCTATTCTGGTAGGCCATAAGCTTTCCTAAAGAGATGGGTTTTAAGGCACTTCTTAAACGATTGAAGACTATGGAGAGTATGATGGCAGGCTATTCTATAGGAAGGGAGCCGCCTGCGAGAAGTCCTGCAAGCGTGAGTTGGCCGTATGGGTGTGTGCAGTGGACATGAGAAGGTCACGGGCAGAACGGAGAGACCATGAAGGGGCATACCTATGGATCTGTGAAGAGATATAAGAGAGGCTAGAATTGTTCAGTGCTTTATAGGTATGGGTTAGCACTTTTAATTGATTCCTATATTATACAGGAAGCCAATGTAAGGACTGACAGAGGGGTGAGATGTGAGAGGACTGACTAGAGAGGAAAATCAGTCTGGCGTCAGCATTCATTACAGACTGTAGCAGGGCCACCAGATGGAGACAGATTGTCAGGGGGCCCGGTCAGTGCTGGGCACTTTAAAAGCACGCCCAGCGCTGACCAGGCCCCGTGTGATGATGTCAGACAGAGCTGGGAGGAAGTGACTGCACGTCACTCCTCCCAGCTATCTGACAGGGCCGCGCGGGAGGAAGGAGGAGGGAGTCAGAGTGGGAACTCTGACTCCCATCAGGCTGATTCCACACTGGACCCCAGGGAAGTCACCCTCCTGCAAAAGGTAGGAAACAGGAGGGTGACTTAAACATTCTGTATGTGTATGTCTGTATGTATGTGTATGTCTGTGTGTCTGTCTGTATGTATGTGTCTGTATGTATGTGTGTGTGTGTGTGTGTCTGTGTGTGTCTGTGTGTGTGTCTCTGTATGTATGTGTCTGTGTCATACAGACACATACATACAGAGACACAGACACATACATACAGACACACACATACAGACACATACACACAGACAGACATGCATAGAGACACACACACATACATACAGACACACACATACAGACTGTATGTGTGTGTGTCTCTGTATGTGTGTGTGTGTGTGTGTGTGTCTGTATGTATGTGTCTGTGTGTGTGTATGCATGTATTTGTCTGTGTGTATGTGTTTGTGCCTCTATGTATGTCTGTATCTGTATGTATGTGTTGGGGGCCCACGGATCAGTTTTGCACCGGGGCCCCATGTATTGTGTGTACGCCATTGTCTCGGGTTGTGGGTAAGTTGAAGACCATCAAATGATAAAGGTGCAGGGGTAGCAGTGTCAGATAGGGAAAGCCATGTTTCTGTTAAGGCTAGAAAATCTAGGGAATGAGAGATGAAGAGGTCGTGGACAGCAGTGGATTTTGTAATATTGCAAACAGAGCGTGCATTCCAGAGGGCGGTATTGAAGGAGGATTTAGAGCAAGAGTAACATGAGATGGGTATGAGATTGGTGTGGTTTCTTGCGTTAGTACATGGTGGGTTTGCTGAGATGGGACTGGGGTTTGGAGAGACATCACCAGCTGCTAGGAGCAGAACGATAGAAAGGAAGTGAAGGTGGGAGTAGGATTTGAAAGTTTTGTAGGAGTGTATGTATATATATATATATAGAGGATTTGGGAGGAGTTGGCAGAGATAGACTGGAAAGGTATATGTAGAGTACATGGGATGAATAGAGAGGGGAGGGGAGTAAAGTGGAAGTAATGAAGATTGTGTTGCCAGAGACAGGTGAGCAGTAGGATATTGATATTTTAGTAATGAGAGAAATTAGTGTGAAAGGGAAAAATAGAAGGGAGAGCATTATTTAGAGTAAATGTGTTTTGTTATGTAGATATGAAAATTATACATATGCACATATACACACACACACACACACACACACACATATATCTATGAGTGTTTAAACCATGGTTAGGATGCACCTAGTATTGGAAGTGGTGATATCCATGTTTTATGTATAGAATACACGGTCTAAGTACTAAGAAAACATAGTAACCGAAATCCACAAGAATAAAATAGTCACCATTGTTAATTGAAATATGTACTAACTAAATTAACCAATTATTGTTAATTAGAAGGTATTAACTTTCTTGAAAAATCTCTCCGGAATCATTAATTTTTACTGAGCTTGGAAGAAGGTTATATATTAGCTTTTCAAACAATGGCATAAGAAAGGAGAAAGAGAACACAGGGATGTACTTATAACGTTAAGACAGCCACGGTATTTGGACAGAAGACAAGTAGATTAAGTGTCCCCAGGCCTAGCACTACTTTGCTAGACTCATTGAAAATAATTCACACCAGAGGCTGCAATTTGGCCAATGATTCATAGCTTATGGATGACCTTGAGTAAACAAAGAAAAATATTGAAACTAACAAAAAATTGGATCTAGGGAAACTGTATCAGCTTAGTTTGTGGAGCTCTTAAGCAAACTGCATGGCTTATCACATATAGATCATAGGTGTGTTCATTTTTTTTGAAAGGGTTAATCCGAGGGAACAGTAACGAAAAAGTAACGTTACATGACATCATGTGCAGCATCACATCCTAGATAAGAATCTTTTTATATGAATCCTCTACACGAACAGATGAATCCACTCAGTTAACTATGCAGTTCATTTTTTGTAATTATTTTTAGAATGTAGAATCAGAATAAGAATCTAGAAGTAAAGGTTCTGATAATATGTATTATAGCACACTGGGCAATCCGATCCAGACAACAGTTATGCACTCTACCCTTAAGTAGCTAACTTGAAATACCTACATACGATACAATAAGTATATCCAGGGACAGAAGGTATCAGAAAAAGGTAGGATAGATATAGTGACGAGAATGTAGAAAAACGGACAGGAGGCACACCCATGGGGTCAGGTCTGGTCTCCTATGAAAAAGTTTTTCTAAAACGTTCCCCTCCTTGGTCCAGAGGGGCAGTATCTAGGGGCATTCCCACCACATATGAAGGTGTGTGCCTTTGAGGCCGCAGCCCTTACAGCACAAACAGGTTGGAATCAGTTTCATGCGATAAAGTTTTGCTGGGGTAGTATAGCAGCAGAACATGGTCTTAAAGCATTGCTCTTGTAATAAGACATATATAGATGAAGGAGCTACTGCTTCCCAAATATCTTGCCAGGTAATACCTTCCAATACCCACCCCAAGTCTGCTACCCACTGTGAAATATAAGTCAACTGTCCCCATGGTTTCATTCAGACATAGCCTATTGTAAAAGGTCAAGCGCCGGTGGGCTGCCTCGTTGACGTATGTCTGCTTTGGTCTCTGACCTCCAAATATAAAAATAAAATCAGACAGAGTAAGGCTAGTACGGGATTTAAGCACATCAAATGATACTATCTGTCCCCTTTCATAGAGATGACAAAATCTCTGTAGGACCGCCTTTTGAAGGTTTTTAAAATCTTGGGCTGACATTCTCGGAGGGAACGCCCGGTTTCTTAGTAGTGGAGTGATTTGGGAAGGGTATGAGGACAGTCCAAATTTATGAGCTGTTGCATCCCATATTCTAAAGGGAGTTAAGTATTGCAGGACTTGTGCATCGCAATATTATTCTGCTATCTCTAGGAACCCACATGTAGTATTGGGGAAGATCCGCTCCCATCATTAAGGACTCTAATTCCCTTTTCCGTACATTTAACTGTAGGTGCCACATCGCTATCTGTATGAGCTGCACAGCCAGATAAAAATAATACAGATGTGGCAGTCCCAGGCTCCCTCACATTTTAGGACGATACAAGACATTTCTTATCATCCTATGTCTCTTGTTCTGCCAAATGAACGACCCTATCGCTTTTGTAATCGCTACCAGGAGGGCCTGGAACAGAAACAAGATACGTTATGTTAATTTTAACGGAATGGAGACTGCCGATCCATGATATCGGCCTGTCCATCCAGTTTTCCATATCTATAGGTAATTTTGTACAATTTAGTGGGATCAGCTGTTAATTGAATTTGATAGAGTGTCATGAGATCTGTATACCATAGGTTGTTTGAATGAGTGCTGTGTCTGCCACTGACAGTCCCAAGGGGAGGGCGCTGGATTTGTTCTTGTTTGCCTTGTAGCCTGATAAGATGACATACATCGTTAATAGGTCCTGGAGTGCTGCCATAGATGCTATGGGGTTGGTAATTGATAATAAGACATCATCTGTGTATGCAGAAACGTAAAACTGTTTGCCCCCTACCGTGACCCCATGGATAGTGCTTACATATAGCCTGTAAAAGAGGTTCCAGTGATAAGAGCAGAGGGGAGAGTGGTCATCCCTGATGCGTACCATTTTCCAATGTAAAGGGTAGATTAGGGGCTACCGCTATTCATACCTGTGCAGTCACATTTCTGTACATAGCCTGAATCATTGCGATGTAAGATGGCGGAAAGCCTAGAAATGATAGGAGATTTAAAAGATAGAGCCATTTGACCCAATCGAAAGCCTTTTCAGCATCAAGGGAAACTAATAGAGTAGGGGAGGTGTGTTAATTTTAACAGGTTTTAATCTCAGTAGAAACATGCTGGCTTTGCTACACTATGCTTTTTCCTGTAAGTACCATCAGCAGGACTATCTCCGGGGTAATTTCTATATGTTAGGGTATCCTTAGGGTACAACTCAGTGTAATTTTAAAGGGAAGCAGTGCATTGTTCTGGCATCAGTTTTGACATGGGCATTCTGTACCATTCTGCTGTCGCAAAAATGACAGTGTGCGTCATTCCACCATCAATGCTGACATGGACCACTCCACTCCTAGTATTTTATACAGTCAAAATGATACATGCACAGCGTCATTTTGGCATCACTGTTCCATAACTTTCTGGCACGCTCTGACACAATGGCGGGCAGCGTCTATACTATTTACAGGGAAGAAAACAGAAGCATTGGATATCGGCCCCGCAAACCAGAAGAGGGAGTTCAGGCCATGTGGAAAGTTCAAGCTACATGGCCTGAGGAAAGGTGTAGTGCGCCTAAGGAGGGGAGCGGCGTGGGCACCCTGTGCAGGTAAGTGTCATGCGGTAACACTTCCGGGTTCGTCACTCCGCTGTGCGGAGCTGGACCCCGTCCCCCTCTGATGCGGCTCTGACAGTATTTAGGGAGACCGCGCCAGAGAGAGGGCGCTTGGTGATTGTGTGTGAGCTACCTCCGTGAGACCGTGGGCTCCACATGCTCAGCTACTGGGAGCTACTTCCGCTCAATGTGGGTCCGACTTCCGAGGATGCCGGCTCTTCAAGCTCTGATGTTGTCTTAGCCATCGGGCTAAGACAAGTATGCTTCACGTTATAGAGGAATGCTGGAGAACGGAAACTCACTTTACAAGTGGACCTTATCTCTTTACAACTGGAGGACAACTAACCTTAAGTATATCTCTCATCTAATTATCTACAATCTCATTTAATATTGAACTAAGTCTTGCTTACTCAAATCTTCACTACTGCAAGCTACTAATTATTTGGAGGACAACTCTCATCATGCTTATACACTATGCTCATTCTCTATGAACTGTTTCTTGCTTTGCAATTACACTCAGTGCTTCAAGTTACTAATTATATGGAGGACAACTCCCATCATGCCTATTAACTATGAACTGTTCTTGCTTTGCAACTATTCTCAGCTACTTGCTTTATATTACTATTGAAGATTATTCTCATTAACCAAAGAATGTTACTTAATGCATCTCTGAGGAAATACTTAAAGGACCACTCTAGGCACCCAGACCACTTCAGCTTAATGAAGTGGTCTGGGTGCCAGGTCCTTCTAGGGTTAACCCATTTTTTCATAATTATAGCAGTTTCAGAGAAACTGCTATAATTATGAATGGATTAAGCCTTCCCCCTAATCCTCTAGTGGCTGTCTCATTGACAGCCACTAGAGGCGCTTGCGTGCTTCTCACTGTGATTTTCACAGTGAGAGCACGCAAGCGTCCATAGGAAAGCATTGTAAATGCTTTCCTATGAGACCGGCTGAATGCGCG